TTTGGTATCCAGGTGAGTGATACAGGCCCTCTGGGCCTCTTGTTACAAATATATTTTCAATGTGAAGGGAAAAAACTTTCAAATAGCTGGTGATTTTAAAGTCTCTCATAATCAGACATCACACACACAAACTGCTCCACTGAATCACCAAGTAATGACATATTTAACACTTGACAGTAAATGAAACTTTAACTGCTAAAACTGTTCATCACTATCGCAGGTGCATGAATGAAGATAGTCAACATGAATTTTCAGATTGAAAAGCTGATTATCATGTCTATATGAATATTCAATGGGATCTGTTTTCACTTTTCAGAACTGTCCTCACTTACTATCCTTTAAATGTCGTTTTTTTTTTTTATAGAAAAGCATAAAAGAACCCCACAAAAATACCTAATTTTACATTATTTTCTTGTAGAATTTTGGCTTTTAAATTGTTAGGCAATTTTCTTGCTCTGGACTCTGCCCCTGCCTGAGAAAGGGAACAATATAAATTAAAAAAATTGTTTGGTTTTGGTCATGGATTGTGAACTCAGTACTGCCGCTTTTATAAAGATTTGAAAAAGTGAATTGTTTACCATAAAATAAGAGCGAATCCAGACAATTTTACAAGGCTTTTGCAACTGGTCACATGTGACTTAGTTTCTGGTAACCTAAAAGCTTCTTCTGAAGAAATAAGATTCACGTATCTTAAATTCATTGTTGACTTTAGCCCTTGAAGAAGGCAAGGAGGCTGAAATGTTGGGAGAGAATGACAATTCTTTATCAGATTTTTTTTTGAGTTTTCCATTTTTCAAAATGGTTCCTGTTATGGGACCTATCAAAGCCAATGTTTCCATCATCCTATGTGCTTTATACACCGACTATTGTATACGTACCTGTCCTTCTGACCTTGTTCTTTGGTCTACTTTTGTCTTTGAAATCCATCCCCTGTTGATGAGTATTTTTTCTCTGAAATGATATACATGTTTACACTTTATATATCTTCTGTATCTTCTATTTCTTCGTCGATTATACCGTGGATAACGAGAAGGTATACAGAGTTCACACTGGTTAAGTAAATATCCAGGAAAAAGTGCGAACAACACGGCAAATCTCTTTGAAACGGTGCATGTTGCTCCAATAAATTCAGACGTTTGGAAGAGATTTGCCGTGTTTTCCCACTTTTTCCTGGAATTGTACACTCAATAAGATAGTTTTATTAAGTTTGTCTGAGGTAGGCATGGAGGATATGAAAATCCGACACAGGGTGTGTAGTATACAGATCAGGGACTGAGGTCAATTATACAAAAAGTGAAGAAATTTCATCTCCTCCATACCTACAAATGATTGATTCATTTTCTTCTACTTCTTGGACCCTGAGGTACAGAGTTACACGGGATATGTTATCCAGCAGTGAGTCGATACATCCATCTAGATGTTTCATAATGAAATAAATGAGAGGTTCCTGAGTTATGCCCCAGACAAAGATATAGGATAAAGAGGTGGACTAATAAAAAGACAAGGCCCAAGTTTTATTAGTAGGGGTAGCCATACTGATATAAATAGAACTCACTTTCTGTCTTTGAGATTAAACGGTGTAACAACCAGCATTCCACCTCGACTCGGTGTGACCCCCATGCCCTTCACCTCAGAACTTTTTATGTCCTGGACGTTGGGACGTGGGTAGATATATCGCTCCATCTGGTGGTCAAATTCTCCTAGGACTCTCACAGGTGTGTACTCCATGTCTGTATCTGTCAGTTCCTCTAAACTAACAAACAAATAGGTACCTGTTACATAACAAACTAACAAACAAATAGGTATCTGTTACATAA